GTGGGAGAACTTGCACAATTGGTGGCTGACTAAATACTTTTTTGCCCCACTGTATGTCCTATTAAAAGAAGATTCTGGTAAAACAACTATAACATGCAAAACAGTTTACTACCATATATCATTACTGAGCACATCAAGCCAGAATTTACTGTCTTTGTTGGAAAAAGTACATGAAACTTTAGCAACAATGACTGTTCGTGGACATTTTCCTATAGAATTTGCTGGTACAATCCTGAATCCATTGTCCTGTCAACAGAAATGTCAATGCTGCTAAATGAAGTGCCAGAAGTTACTAAAACTAAAACTTCACATACATTTTCCAACAAGGCAGTGAATGCTGGGTCAGTATACTGGCATGATATAATACATTATTGTAGATGTTGTTTGTTTATCCAGAATCTTTTTATTGATTAACAGGATGTGTAAATGAAGCTCCAATCACTTTCATAGTTCATAGTACTGCAGGATTATAGATAGTTCTAAAAGATTCACAAAATTTCTGTCATCATTGTAGGAGACAGAGGAGGAACGGTATTCTTATAGAATATCAGGAAAAGACATATTTTATGAGCGGGACATAAAATATATCTACCTAACTTTCCATGAACAGCTCCTTCCATCATTGACCACTCAATTTAGCAAGGTCCTTCAATCTTCAGGGAGTCTTTTGGAGGACTGGCAAGGAGAAGAAGACATAGGAAGAGACAATTTCTGTTTGCATCTTTCTGCTAGCAGATAACTGGATCCAACTCAGGGGTTTTGACTTTCAAATTATATACATTAGTAATCTGTTGTAAATACAGGATAAATTGTTTAAATCTGATACTGTGATTAATATGAATCATTTCAACATACTATGAATATGAGATGACCACAATGATTACTCTGGTCTCTTTTTCATATCCTTACTTAATCAGAATATGTTCTCTATGTTATTCTTCCCATGATTTCTCAAAGCAAAATTCAACTACATACTGAAGACTAGAATATCTTCCACAATTCACTTGGAATACTATGAGCAAGAATAGTCATTCAATAGTAAAGCATTCACCTATGTTGATGGTTGTGGTTCTAAATTCACCAAGGTCCCTTCCATCAGGCCGACAATTTTCTTTCTAAAAGGATCACCAAATCAGGCATACATAATTAATCTTATTAGATTACAGTATAAGAGCTTGAGTGAAAAAGTTAGCATTTGATAAGCAAAGTGCTATGATATGCATGATCTAAAAACAAAAGTATAATTATTTGGACTCAAATGCAGTTATATGCAGATTTAAACAGCCCTGCTAGGTAAAAGTCTGATAACAATCGAAAGTACATACATTCATGGAATCTTCAATACTAAGACTGTTGACTCGAAAAATCTGTGTTTATAGAGGAAGTTCTGACAAAATGGAAATACCCATTGTAATGGTTCGTAGTGAAAAGATTGTGGGGACTAGGGAAATCCTGAATACATCCTGCTTTATTCTGGTCACATCCAGTTCTTCTTCCATGATCCACCACTTTATATTGGTGAGAAAATCTGAAATTTTGCAGTGCTCTGACCTTGTATTCAGATATTCATCTTTTAAAAGACAGAGATTCTGGTTAAACAAACAACAGTGTACTATGTTGTGTCTTACTGAAAAAATAATTGTCAGAACTTCCTCTATAAAATATGATAATGAGCTCTCTAAGGAGGTAAATTCAGTCAGATATTCCAATCAATGGGGTGACAATGAAGTTTGAATTTGAAGGGCACTTACACTATAAAATATACACATGTTGACTGCTACCATCAGAATCTGCTTTTACAAGAATGACTTGATAAAGATCTCTGCAGATCTCAGAACAGGAGTTTTCAACCAAAAAGGACATAGCTCCTATCTCAAGTTTTCACAAGACCACCTGGATGATCTAACAGGCTTTTGGAATAATGTCTGTAGACAGATCAGATGAAAATTGAAACTTTTTGGCATTAATGAGAAATATATTGAGGAAAAACAAAACAAAGAAACCCTTCCCAACCATGAAACATGGTGGTGGGAATATCATGGTCTGGGGCTGTTTTGCAGATAGTTCAAAATAACTATGTGAACAATGGATTCTGAATTATACTAACAATTCTGCAGAAGAATGTAAAAGTATCTGTGAACTAAAGCTTAAACTAAACCCAGAACTAAATCCAGTTCTGGCATACCTGAAGTAAGTAGTGCATGCAAGATAGCTCAAAATATAAATGAGTTGAAGCCGTTCTGTAAAAAGGAATGGGCCAAAATATCTCCAAGCTGTATGTAAGAAATGCATGGTTTAAGTGATTGCCGCTAAACAAGGTACCACCAATTACCAGATCACATACATTTTTTAAAACAAAGACAGTGAGTGTTACCTTGTGTTTAGTAAATACATTGCACTGTTTTATGTATTGTTTACTTAACCAGAATCTTTATTAATAGGACTTAGATGAAGCTCAGATCACATTGTAAGTCATAGCACTGCAGGATTACAAAAAGCTCTGAAAGATTCATACTTTCACCACTATACATACACAGTCCTTGACATGTTCCAAACTCCAAATGCCGTCTAAAAAAGTTGTGCATCTAGGCTGCAAGAAGATACAGGCAACTTTTTATAGCTTTTATTTTATTTTAAAACTTATTTTATTTTTTGGGCTGCTAAAGAGTCATAGTGTGTATTATTATGCCATTTACAGATACAGTACAGGATTTTTGGTCTGTCTTTTCTACATTTGGGGACTTGGGAAGATTTTTATAGGTGTATTAAGGTGTATTTCATTTCCCTCCAAAATTAGCAGGAAATTAAGACTCAGAAGTTTGCTAGTGAATTTCAGCAGCACAAACATGGGACTCTTCAGGGCTGCAAAAATACGTGGAGCATACTGCCCAAGGAAAGGCTCTTAAAACAACTGCTCATGCTGTCTAGCAACAAAACTGATAAGGATGTTTCATGGACATACAGTATTCACATAGGTGACATGGGAGCCACAATTATAAATAAATGGGATAAATGGTTTTATTTATTAAAAAATTTAAACCACCCAATAACTGAAGCTCTTTGGACAGTTACAATAAAACATATTAAAAATACAATTTGAATAAAAACATATAAAAATCAAATAAAATGCAAAATAAAAAGACCATATAAACTAGGCAGTTGCAAGGCACTCATATAAACTAAAAGAATATGAATTAAAATATATTTAAAAGCTGGTTAAAAACCTGGGAAAATAAAAAAAGATCTTCACCTGCATTGAACTGATCCTAATATGGATACTAGTTGAACCTCTCTGGTGAGGGAATTCTATAAGTTGGGTGCCACTATAAAAAAAAGCTCTTCTCCCTTGTAGAGGCTCACCTTACATCCTTTGGTGAGGGGAACTGCAGGGGAGCCTTAATAAATGACCTTAAGGTACAGGTAGGTACATATGAGAGAAGGCATTCTTTCAGATAACCTGGTCTTAAGCCATTTAGGGCTTTGAAGGTTAAAGCTAGCATTTTGAATTATGGGTGGAAATGGGCTAGGAGACAGTTTAGATGATGAAGAACTGACATACTTTTGTCAGCCAGCCTTAGTGAGTGGTCTAGCCATTCTATTTTGAACTAAGTGAAGTTTCTAGATCACAATAATCTAACTGGGAAATTACAGATCATGAATAACTGTTCTAAGGCTATTTCTGCATAGATATTGTTGCAGTTGGAAAATCACCCTAAGCTGGTAAAAGGCACTCTATACCACCGGGGCCAACTCTAGTGACCGTGAGGGATCTAGGAGCACCCCTACATAGTGAACTTGCTCCTTTAGGGTTAGTGCAGACAGGGTGCTCAACTGGGTAGATACAGATACTTTTAATGTGATCTGTCTCTGTGGAGCAAAAGATGAAAGCCTCCGGATATGGCTATCTCCATACAAAAAGCATATATGGAAAATTCTATGTAGATCTGAAAACCATATTTAATATATATAGATAAATACACTTTGTACTCACTAAGAATCTTCTGTAATATTCCAAAGGTTCCACGGTTCTGAAACAAATGGAAATTTAAGTAAAGTATTTTACGAACAGACAAATCAAGTTGAGCATTTTAGAATAAAAAAATATTCCCAGCTGGGAATTTAGCGACTTAGAATTTCCAAAGCTATGCTTTCAGATATTCCCTCTGTAAATACATGATTATTATTATGGGTGCCTGTCTATAGCTGGGCCTTAGCATTGGTATAGTCACCCCGAAAAGGCCAACATTGGATGAAATTTCTTTTTGGGAAAGACACAAAGACATTTGTGATAGGATGCCCTATTCAGCTCAGTCCTGGATATGGCACAAGAACCCCTTTCTGAGTGAAAGACAGAGGGAAGCTGTAAGGAGGATTCACATGGGGTGAAAGTTCAGGTAATAAAGCACTATTAACTCCTTGAATAGTTCTTAGTGAGAAAAATACTATGGGGAGAAGGAATGTTCTTGGTAACAGCAGGAGCCAGTCACTGTTACATAACCCTTAACATCTTTGTTCAGCTTGAACTATCTTGATTTTCCACCTTGTTTCCACATGCTAGTTTATGTAACGAATTATTGCAAATTAGGCCAATTAGGCTGTTCATTTCCATGAGCTGTTTGGTCCTGGGGATGCTTGGTAAAGTGTAGGATTGAGGAGTGTAGAATTCCCATCAGTAGAACTGTGGGGAAGGGAGATATGAGATAGCTGGAATGGTCTTTAGTTTGTTGAGGAATTCTGCTCAATGAAGTAAAGTGATAGATGGCTGGAGCACAAATCTTGTAATAAATCCAACTGACCACAAGTTAGAATATACAAATGAGCACATTGTGTGGTAACTGTGGCAGCAAAGAAGGCTTACTTCACATTATGGTGTCCTCAGTGAATCACCTAGTAGAATGTTCTTAAGTGGTGGGTTGGCTAGCCTAACATGATAGGTAGGGAAAGCATTTTTAGAATAAAAGTACTCAAACCTGCTCCAAACGAGATACTAAAATTACTGCAGAAACTGTTTGCGAGGATTCCATCTGGCTAGGGTTTGTGGGATTAACTGCAATTACTGCATCCTAAAGAAGTGAATAAGATGTTTGTGGCAATTAGGCTAACTATCTGTTGTCTAAACTTTTGCCTCTTGTGTCTATTAAAATCTAGTACAACTGGGTGGGTCAGAGGAGCAGTCAAAACCTCTTTATATGAGGGAGCTATACCCCTGCTTTGAATGTGATGGAGGTACAAACTCTCTTAAGAATCCCTTTCTAGATCTTGAGATTTTGGATAACGGCCATCCAGTTGCAAATATTTCTATCTTGGACAAGGTGTTGCCAGTGGAGACTGCCATCCAGTGATATGGTTGTTTGAAAGAGGCTGATTATCTAGGTCCACTTCAGTCAGGTTTTAGACCTGGATATAGCACAAAAACATCTTTAGCTGCACTTGAACTTAACCAGGAGAGAGACATGGGGAATACTCTTGTGTGGATTCTCTTGGAACTCTTGGTGGTCTTTGACACCATCAATCATGGGATATTACTGGAGCAACTCAATGGGTTGGTAACTGGAAACACAGTATTATGGTGGTTCCATTTCTATCTGAAGACCACCTCCACAAGGTGACAGTAGGCAATAAGGCAATTGGTTCTCTAAATATGACAGGGTACCACAGAGTTCTCTTTTTTTCTCCATGGCTATTTGGTATTTGAACTGGGGGCAATCATCCAAAGGTTGGAAACACAGCATCATCAATGTTCCAACAACTCTAATTCTTTTCTTTCTACATGAATCAGGAAGGGCTGCACAGGTGCATGACAGCTACCTGAAGGCAGTACTTGAAAGTGTCTGGAAGCAGTGATGGACTGGATGGGATCCAATAAATTGAATCCAAATAGGATGCAGATGGTTCTTGGACCCAGGAATTAGGAAAGTGGCCTGTTCTGGATGAGATAGTACTTGCTATGAATGATGAGGTGCACAGCATGAGGGTGCTTATTTATTCCATTCGGTCATAAGAGACACATATGGTTTCATTGGCAAAAAGGACCTATGGCCCAGCTTCATCTGGTGCACAAATTATGACACATTATAGTGGGATAGCCTAATCTCATGGATCCATGTCTTAACTTCTTGATGGATTCCTGCAATGTACTCTATCTCTGAAGATAGTCTGGAAGCTACAAATAGTGCAGAAAATTGCTGCCTGATTCTTAAGGGAGGTGGCCAAATAGCACCACATACTTGTCCTGAAAGGACAACACAGGAACCAATGAGCTACCAGGTCCAATTTAAGTTTTGGATGCAAACCTACCTGGCTTTTTAAGGACCCAGATAAGTTTATCTGCTTTAGTGTTATGTCACCTATGCACTAGCATTAGCTGCAGAAACCCTGCTTGCAGTCCCATGAAATCAGCTCTTATTGTATTATTATTATTATTATTATTATTATTATTACAAGGCAGCAGTAACCAAAAGTAAGACCCCCGAAGAGGTGCCACCCCAATTAACTAGAACCCTCTTGCTAGGGAAATTGATCTAGCCCCCAAGTTGTCTTCTTTTAAAAAACAGTTAAAAATGTTCCTACTCACCCAAGCATCTGTAAGATAACAAGTACTCCAAGACCAAACAGTCTTTTAGATTACTGTTCCATTGCTCTTTTTTCTTTTATGAACATTGCTTTAATTTTTGTAACTATGTATATTGAGCCTGGAGGAAATATGAGCACTGGAATAACTGAAAAATGAGAAGAAAAACCTATTTTCAATTGCTCCATAAAGAAGGGCTAGACTTAATGGAACAGGAGAACAAGAACAGATTTTGGTTAAGGATTAGGAGATGTTCTTAACCAAAAAAAAAAAAAAAAAGCAATTCAACTAAGCCAATTTCTTGATCTCTTTCGCTACTCCTCTATCACTAATGTAGGAATGCACAATTTCTGTCAGTTTGAGTGTGCCCTGAACTTTGTGCATACAGCAGTTTGAGGATGTAATTCAAAAATGTTTTCAAAAATGCAAAATATACACATTCACACAAAGCTGAAACTCTTGCATCAGTAGAGGGCAATAATGACCTGGGACTCAGTTCATAAGAAAAAGGGTTTCTGCAAGTCCTTTGCTGATGAAGGAAAAAAAAATCTACACCTCTCCCTTTTTGATAGTGAGAAGCAAGTGAGAACTGAATGAAGAGAACAGATTGGAGGAAGGAGGATGAGGTGCGGAAAGCCTACAAGAATAAACAGCAAGCAAAAAGACTGAGGGTATGTGCGATCTTGTGATCTTCTAGTCTATCCACCTGTCCACTGTAGGAATCTACCACTATAGAATCCCTGATAGCTGTCATCTAGCCTCTCTTTAAAAACATCCGGCAAAAGTAGTAATAAAATTGTTGCCATGATGGCCACATCCAGTCACTAAGCTAGAAGCTGTTGCTGTGCTTTGCAGCATGGCAACTTTCTAAATAGTTAAAATACATGTTATTTTAACATGTATTTAATTTTTTTTTTTAAAGAGACAATGAAAACTGGTGGACACTGGAAGAGGTATCACTGGAACTGGACATTAGAAGAGGCTTGCTATATGGTTTTAACAGAATCACATTTACAAAACCTATCTTTGGCTTACTGTATAAGGTCTTGTCAACTTTGTGATTCTATTAAAATAATTCATGTAGTCATTGAGTCATGATTTACTTTTTGACACTGATTTGCAAAGGGCCTTCATCTAATATTGTAAGCTTAGTGCTCACCTGCAATATGATTGTGGCTAGGGAACTAAGGCAGGGAAAGTCTGTCATCTTTACAACTTGCTCAGCCTATTGGCCTTTGAGATGTATTAAGCTGTTGAAATACTTGACAGAACGCTGAACCAAGGAAAGCTTTCATCTGATCCAGCAAATTTTGCTTTTTGCAGCTAGGATCACTGAGGTCCCATTCAGTTAGCCATGATCCAGATCCAAGCTCAATTCAACCCTCAGTCATTGGAACCAGCATCTCGTTTACTACATCATACTGACTTTATCAGCAGGTTTCTCAGTATAGCAAAATATGGCATTCTGGATAAATCACCGACCACCCTAAAAGCACATTTTTTTCGACCTTTGAACTTGCCATCAGAAATCAACAACAAATGGCACAGCAAAATCAATTATGCGTTGTTGGAGAGAAAACCAGACCGGAGTGGGTGGACATACCCAGGTTGCTATCATTATAATGCGTTCACATTTGACGGAGCTTTAAGCAGGACTCGAACTTCCTGAACCGAAAATGCCCGCTCGCGAGTTGCGAGGAACAGCCACACAGCTTCCCAGTCCTTCCGCCTCGTAGTCGCCAGTCTTCCGACGCGAAGTGTGACACATGCACAATCGCGTGCGCTCGCGCACAAGGCCCGCCGGAACGAGGAACGGTTTGGGCACGAGGGGAAACGCTCAGCGCTCCCCTGATCAGCAGAAATTTACCTGAACGCGGCCGCCACGGTCGCCGTCATCGTCACTTCAGTAGTTTCTTCGTTTAACGACTGGTAGAGACCAAAAACAATCCAGATGCGCAGGGCGCTACTAAACCGAGGCCGTGGGGTAGCTAGAATTAGGAAAAGGTGACATTGGCACGTGGTCTACAGTTCCGGCAAAAACGAAAGTGGCCGTTCTCGCGCTCTCCCGAACGGTAATGGTAGCTAGAGATTTGAAAAGAGGTAGAATAGTCCACTTACTTTTCTGAATTCTACGTTACTAGAGTCTTACAGTTTTCCTCATACATATTAATAAAGACATACAGGATTTCTGCATAGCTATGGGTAGCCGACCCTGGCTGATTTGATAATACTTGGATGGAGGACGATCTCTAGGATGAAAAGCTACGTTTTTTTTTTCAAGAAGGCGGTTGCAAACCATTTCCGCGATTGTTGCTAAGATCATTACTCAGAGACACCTTAAAGTCAAATCAAGAATCGAGCTCAACTCGAAGGAAACTTGGTTTGTCTACAGGAAGACCATCCGTATACTCTAACGCCTGTCTTCTTTCACATTAGCATTTATTTTTCTAGTTCTTAAACAGTATAAAAACACCCTGCCAGTGCAAATAAAACCACAACTTATCTTTTCATCTCCTTACTGCATTTCAGAGGCCAGGCTTATGATAGATTGTAAATAGGCGCGCAGTTAATTTTGAGTCTTGGAAAAGGAACTGACGGTGATCTTCAGAACTCTCCAATACAAAACTGTTCAAAGATTGCAGCCAAAGATCTCCATTGCCGTATCAGTCCCCTCTCAGATTAATTTCAACGCTCGCATGACTACGGAAGGCTTATGCTCCCTTTTACTATGAGCATATTTTTAACAAAGTCCTATGTGTTTTGCACAGGGCGTACATGTGTTTATCTCTGAATTTCTACCAAGTAGCTTTTCTTTCTGAGTTAGTTGTCCACGCATCCGGTCTAATCATCCTAGCCAATAGGCCACTCTGCACACCGGAAGCTCAGTCTTTCTCATCCTCGTGATTCTTCTCTTCCGCCTCCGTGTCTCTTTCGAAGAGTCGCCCTGAGCACTAATTGAACGCAGCTAAGCAGAGAATGAAGTGCTGAACCGGCCGATGATGGAACTGGTGTGGTTGGTCGAAGGGATCGTGATATTAGCGGCCGCAGGGCTGGTTCTGGTGAGAAGGGAGCGGGACCAGTCCTAAAGCATCTTGGTGGCGAAGAGATGAAGGAAGAATGGCAAACTCTTCCTTGCCTGTGGGCTCTCTTTTTTACAATCTCGGCCCCCAGATTTATTCTCTGCCATTTTCCTGACATTTGAGGCAAATTTGGCTTAGGGGATTCATTATATCCGGGGTTCAGTTTTAAATCAGCAAACGTAACAAAAGTGTCTCTGAATGCATGCAAAGCGTCCTTCCTACAGTGCAGTACATTTTATTGAAGTTTGTATTTATGCAGATCACCGTCTCAGTCCTCACAGGCTTTAGGCGGTTTACAAATATTAAAATAATAAAATAAAATTACATTTTAAAAGTTCAGTAACAGAATTATATCAGTTAATATCAAATAATAAGAAAAATATGTGAATATGTAAATACCTATGTGTGCATACACTGCTTCTGACTCTGCAGTCACACTGGGATATCATTAGGGTTTCCTCATTTCGTTCTGCACCTCTTTTTCTGAGATTTTGCAGCCCAAGTCATATGAATCTTTGTTTACATTATAGCTTTACTGAAATTGCTCCTAATCACTGTTGTTTTGTAGAACTGTGGTCTTTCTGGTGCATACTGCCCTTTGAGGTGTTCTTACTACCTTGTTAGAGAAGTCTGGACTGCTGCCTTGGGAAGTTTTCACTCGGAAATTTGATATACTTTTTTAAAGGGATAGAACTCAACATTTCCTAAATGACAAACTAAAATCCTTTTAGTGGAGGGAGTACCTTATGTGTAGATGCTAATGTGTTTATACATCAACACAAATCATGCAAAGTGCAGAAAAGGAGTAAAAGGTAGTAAGCAGAAAAAATTAAAGGCAGGAGATAAGATAAAATCAAAAGAAATATAGCTTAATGTAATTAACATAAACACTATTCAGTATTCTTTTGTGTAGGTCTTTAGTTCATTCATCTTTGCAAACCATCCTTGCTTCTATCATATTTTTACACAATTCATATATTGCCTTTTGTTCTTTAAACTCTCATCTCTCTTTTTAAGGAGCTTATCAACACCATAATTCAGCTTCCTCTCAATCCATTTACTCTCTCTTCATATATTTATTTTGTACTTCAGTCCGCATTTATTCTCTCTATACAAAACGCTCAGTGTACTGCTTTAATCCTGGTCACTCTTTTTTGTGATAACCATTTACTAAACCATGACATGTAACTATCATCAGCCTGTAAATTCCTACTCTCATATGCCCACACAACAGTCTAAATATTTATTTACAGTGGTACCTCGGGTCACGAACGCTTCTGTTCATGACCAATTCGGGTCATGAACAGCACCGTTCGCAAAATTTTGCTTCTGTTCGCGACCTCCGCATCGGGTGATGAACAGATCCGCGGCCATTTTCCCTGCTGTGACACGTGGTCGTGGCTTCCTGTAGGGA